CCAAATAGGAGGCAGAGAGCTAACTGGGAATGGCATAGGCTTTTGAGCCGTCAAAACTCACCCCGAGTGACACACCTCCTCCACTACAGCCACACCTCCTAATACTTCCCAAACAGTTGCACCAGCTGAGGACCCAATGTTCAAAGATATGAGTCTATGTGGACAGGTAGCATGCAAAGTAATGGGTTTCATCATGGTGTCCGCATACATGTGTCATATGTTGTCTTAGTTCATTCCCCTCAGTACCTCTTCGTGCTTTCTTCGTCAGCAATTCCTTTTTTTCTCTCAGTTCTGATTTTATTATTTAAAATATTCACAAGTGTCCAGGTAGCTCGTGCCTGTAATGCTAGCACTCGGGAAGCCAACTCAGGAGGATCTCCACATGTGCAAGCCTAGGTACAGAGTCTCAGCTCAGCCTGGGTTACAGTGTGACATCCTGTCTGGGACATTTTTTTTAAATAATCTGTTAACCTTGTTCAGCTTTGCTGCTTCTTCAGGCATCATTTTTGTTATTTGTACTTTTTTAGAAAATTGTTCATTTTAAATGTATTGCCATAAAGTCATTTGTATTTTTCACAATTACTACCCAGCGGTTGCTTATTAGTGCCTTCTCTCCTGGATTCATGGCCAGTCTTCCTAAGGGTGGCAGCTGCTGCTGCTTCTTCTTCTTCTCCTTCTCCTTCTCCTTCTCCTTCTCCTTCTCCTTTTTGAATTATTTATTTAATGTATATGAACACACTGTCCTTGGCACACCAGAAGAGGGCGCCAGATCCCATTACAGATGGTTGTGAGCCACCATGTGGTTGCTGGGAATCGAACTCATGGTTAGAACTCATGGAAGAGCAGCCAGTACTCTTAACCATTGAGCCATCTCTCCAGCCCCCCAAAGGGCTTCTTTCTGTTAAGATTATGAGGATGAATCTTTGAGTATTTCATTGCTTGTTATTTCTTTGCACCTGTACCTCCTATATCTTGAGGAATTGACTCGGCTGTCAACAGTGCTGAGTTTTTGTTTTTACTTAGTTTAAGCTATAAGTTTGAACCTATTTAGTGTTCCATGTGCCTTGCAATCTTGCATTTAGAACTATAAATTCCCCTCTAAGAGATGTGGTAATTGTATCCTACAAGTTTTGTTGTTTCATTCTAAATATTTTGGATTTTCAATTTTAAGTCTACTTTAAAATTTCATTTTAGATTCTTCTTGCTTCTTTCTCCTTCTCTTCCTCTTTAAAATTAGAGTCTCATTCTAGCCCAGGCTGGCCCAGAGGTCAGCTTGTAGCTCAGACTGCTCTAGTGAACTCTCACTCTGAATGCCCAGCCTCCTTTTCTTTCTACATAGACTTTCAGTAAATTTTATTTTCATCTTTGGGGGGGAGGGTGTTGGTCTATATTTGAACTGTGGAACTTCAGTGACTTTTGTTTTCCTTCCAATCGATTTATTCATTTGTGGTCAGAGAATATGTGGTCTGCATGGTTTAAATCCCTCTGTGGACTGTCCCTGCAGGAGGCTTCACTCCATAGTGTGGGGCCTCAGGGCTCCCACCACCTTTGCATCAGGAAGAAGTGTACCTTTAGATGGTTGGCCATCTGCTACAAAGCTAAGATGCACCATGCAGATGCACCATGCAAGTGCCTGCATTTCCTAGGAAATCTTACAAAGGAAAGGCATTGAGCATCACTGCACTCTCATGGCTTCCCAGACGTGCAGTAGGGACCAGGTTGCTTTACTCTGTCTTTTTTTTTTTTCTCGAGACAGGGTTTCTCTGTGTAACTGGCTGTCCTGGAACTCACTCTGTAGACCAGGCTGGCCTAGAACTCAGAAATCCGCCTGCCTCTGTCTCCCAAGTGCTGGGATTAAAGGTGTCTGCCACCACCGCCCGGCGCTTTACTCTGTCTATGAAGGTGGAATGCCACATTCTTAATTACAGCCAGAGCTAAAGGAGAAAGCAGGGCACAGTCAAAGGCTTTTCTAGTAACCTTATGCTATTGGAAGCTAAAGGCCACTTCTCCAGGTAGTTAGCACCTTGCTCTGCTTGTGGGAAGGGCTCTCAGCCCTCCTAAGGACCATCCTTATCTTCACAGGAAACTGCACCAAGTGCTATTGGTAGTGAGAGCAGGTGTCAGGAGCCTGGAGCATCCCAGCATGTACAGGAGTGTTGGGAGCTAGAAGGCCTGGGTTGGGATCCTGGCTTTTTAAAACACCTTAACTGACACTTGTGTTTCCTTAGCTTTACGGTGGAAGTGGCAATAAATAGGTTCTGTGACTGAATTGTCAAGACAATAGATGATTGCAGCACCTGAGCATCGCCTGCCACACTGTGGACACACAGGCATGGCAGTGCTGCACCAGCAGTTCCCACATCAGTGCCGAGGATGTTCTCAGCCCAGACCTGCTCTCCCACTGGCTGCCATGCTCAGTTCCTCCATTCATATAAATCGATATCCACAATCCCAGTTATTCATTTTTGAAGTCCAGTAAACTTCAAGGCATCTGTCACAAGAACCATTCACATCAGCTTTCCTTAGGATGTATTCTACCCTTCCTGTCTGCAGATTAAAATGAAGCCTTTAAAATCTACGTTGATTTTTTTTTCTTTTTCACTGTTCTTGTCAGCTGTCAGGCTGTAAAAAACAGCTTTAAGGAAGAAAAGTTCATGTGATTCATGCCACTTGCTTCATGCCTGTCTAGACCCACGGCTATGGGTCTGACACAAGGCAGAATATTACGGTGGCTGGAGCCTGTGGTGAATGAGGCTCCACAGAAGCCAGGAAGAGAAGCCAGGGAGAGAAGGAAGGGCAGAACACAGACCATCCTTCACAGGTTCTACCCAGTGGCCCCTGTCACACAGCGCAGTCTTACTTTCTGCTGACATTGACACCATCTCCTGCTGGAAACCAGGGCTTTCAGTGCATGAGCCTTTGGGGGACGTTCCAGTTGCAAACTCCTAACATTTGGACATGCTGTGCATCATTTAAAAAAAAAAAGAGAGAGAGAGACAGGGTTTTCTCTGTATAGCCCTGGCTGTCCTGGAACTCACTCTGTAGCCCAGGCTGGCCTCAAACTCACAGAGATCCATCTGCCTCTGTCTTCAAAGTGCTGTGACTAAAGGTATGTGCCATGACCACCCAGCTTGCTGTACATCTTTGGTCTTCTGTATCATCTACAGATTTATCTCAAATTCTTTTTAATTTTTTCAGTCCCTATTTTCCTCAGTTTTTTCAATATAGAATCTTAGGTCTTCCCATATTTTTACCCTTGTTTATCCTTTCTCCCACAGTACCTTTTAAATAAATAGGTAGGTATGTGTGCCTGCTTCTTTGAATACCATGTGCATTCAGTGGAAGCTAGAGAGGATGTCAAATCCGAACAATTGCAGTTGTTTATGGCTGTGAGCCACCATGTGGGTCCTGGGAACCAAACCTGGGTCCTCTACAGAAACAGCAAGTACTCTTACCCACTGAGCCATCTCTCAGCCCCATAATGTGGCCTTTTATTTCTAGGTTTTTGTTCCTTTCCATTTCCTCTGTTGTTTCATTGTTTTTGATGCTTCAAAGTCTTATTTAAGGGATGTCAGGAAACCCTTTGAGTTCATAGCACTCTTTCTGTTCTGCTTCAATCCAGCAGTTTCCAGGATGTTGTCTTTATTTGACATTTGCTTCTCATATTCCTTTCATAAACAACCAGGAAGTAAACCAAATTAGAAGTGAAGTTTGTGTGCATGTGTCTGTGTGCGTTGTATATGAGGAAGAGAGAAAAAGTGAAAGACAGATTGGCTCTCCTCAAGTTCGCCGCCACAGCTGCAGAGCTACTGATCACAGCCCCTCTCAACACGAGTCTGCCCACTGCCTGCCTCCAGCAAAGAGAACAGTTTAAGAATGTTGCCATTCAGCCCTGCATTGATGAAGCCAAACAGAATTCTGGGACAGTCCTACAGCTGTGTCCCTTAAACCTTTCAAACCAGGATGATGGCTTTGTTTCTCAGCTGTACCTTCTACTTGGTGCCTTGCTAACTTAGTCTGATGTCTCAGTGGGAATTTAATCTCAACTACTTCTGACGTAATCTTTGAATTATGTAGATTATTATTATTAGTAGCAGTAGTAGATCATTCTCATTTATTACATTACTTGGGTTACATTAATATATATATATATATATTTTGGTTTTTCGAGACAGGGTTTCTCTGTGTACATTAATATATTTTTGTTTGTTTTGAGGCAGGGCCTTGCTGTAGCCCAAGACTGTCATCAGACTCAGGATCCTCCTGACTTAGACTCATGAGTGCTGGGAATATAGGCACATACTACCACACCTAGATTTGAACATAATTTTATTAAACATAGAGTGGGTGTTTCTTTTCTCATTTTTTTTCTTGTTTTTGTATGACTTCAATGATGACAGAATAACCAAGGTATTTATTTTATTTTAAACTTTTAAATTTAATTAAAACTCAGAACCATTTTTAAAAATATAGTACTTTTCTTTTGAAAGGAGTAGAAACCATACTGCCTCAGACCATATTAAGTGGAAAAAAATACTTCTAAAATTCTATGTATACCTCAGAAGCAAGTTTCTCACAGAGCAAGTGAATCACAGAGCTTGAGTTCAATCCCAGGTCTGTCTAAATGCAAAGTATCAGAGAGCACTCTCTTGCTCTCTCCCTCCTCTCTCCCTCTCCTTCCCTCTCTTTCTCTCCCTGTCTCTTTCTCTATCTCTGTCTCTGTCTCTATCTCTCTCTCTCTCTCTCTCTATATATATATATATATGTGTGTGTGTGTCTAGCCCTGGCTGTCCTGGAACTTGGTCAGTAGACCAGACTAGCCTCAAACTCATAGAGACCCCCCTGCCTCTCTCTACCTCTGCCTCCCTAGTGCTAGGACTAAAGGCGTGCACCACCACTGCCTAGCTTGAGAACTTTCTCTTAAAGAAAGTAACTATCAATTACTCAGATCCTTTAGATATTTCTACTACCTTCTTATTTCCTGATTTCCTGATTCTCAGTGTGACAAATACAAGACCGGAGTTATTGACGGACCTGCATGCAACAGCCTCTGTGTCACAGAAACACTGTACTTTGGAAAATGTCTGTCCACCAAGCCCAACAACCAGGTATGGATCTGACCATTGTCATCATCATTAATTATTGGTTTTTTGCTACAGTCTTATATAGGTCAAACTGGCCTCTTTTTCTGTGGTGATAGCTTGTCTTAATCATTCTGTCTCCATCTTCTAAGAGCTATGTTTATAGTATTGTACTACTTTACCTGGCTAGTAAATTCTAATTTTCCCTTAAACTAAAAGCAGTATTAAAAAATTCTTGAAGCTTGTGGGCTGGAAAGATAGCTCAGCAGTTGACTGCCCTTCCAGAGATCCTGAATTCAATTTCCAGCAACCACATGGTGGCTCACGACCATCTGTACTGTAATCTGATTCCACCTTTTGATGTGTCTGAAGGCAGCTACAGTGTACTCATATACATTAAATAAATAATATTTTTAAAAAATTCTTGAAGCTGGGGGTACTTATATCAGGAGACTGGAGCAGAAGGAGTTTGAGTTTGAAGCCAACTTGATATAAATAGCAAATTCCAGGTAAACTAGGAGTGTGTGTGTGTGTGTGTGTGTGTGTGTGCGTGTTCTGTCTTAAAAACAAAGCACATCCTCCCAAATAGACATAACTAAAAATTCTTGACTCAAACAAAGTTTTGGGAATTGTATGCATTTCCACTTTGTAGGATTTGATTCATTCATTCAGTAGGATTCGTTAAACAAGCCACGTGGTGCCTACCTATAATCGGAGCATTTGGTAGACTGAGGCAGAGAATCATCACAAATTTACTGTCAGCCTGGGCTATTTAGTTAGTTCAAGGTGATTCTGGCCTATCTAGAAAGACCCTGACTGAAACAAGACAAAACAAAGGTTTCTTAATCTGCTTTCGCCAACATTTAGACCCTGAGCCATGAAGAGTGCTTTGTTAAGAAGACCATTCCCATTCAAAATGGAGGAATGAGGTAGAGGAGGAAGATATTGGCCATGGTCAATGTTCAGTCCTACATTGTCTTGTTTGGCATTCAGATACACTGTGGCATTTGGGCTCCTGGGGGCTCCAGCAGGTCCAGCAGGGGACACTTACTTCTCTGCTGCTTGTGAGTCCCTCATACATTCCTTATCTTCACATCTGTCCTCTCTGAGTTTCCACTGGAATGTTGACTTTACTCCAAGCTCATCATACTGTTTAGGGGCTGTTTGTGGGGACCTCAGCCTTGCATAAAATATTGCACAATGCTAATTTGATAAATACCTACTTAATGTCCATGATTTGCCACCAGCCTGAACAGCTTAGGGAGACCCTAAATCTTAGCTGCACAAAAGCACAAAATGTCCCCCCAAGTAGAGACCAGAGAAGTAGATCATAGTGGGCCTTGCTTTTGGCTAGGATCCTTACAATTGTACTTTAAAAAACTATATTTAGGTATGCATTATGTTCATCTTTTTTTAAATTATTTATTGTATGTATGTGAGTACACTGTAGCTATCTTCAGACACACCAGAAGAGGGCATCAGACCCAGTTACAGATGGTTGTGAGCCACCATGTGGTTGTTGGGAATTGAACTCAGCACCTCTGGCAGTCAGTGCTATTAACCACTAAGCCATCTCTCCAGCCCTATGTTCATCTTTTAAAAGTCATTTAAGGAAAAATACTTTGAGACTACTTCAGATTTGTATTCAGAAAGTCAGGAGCTGAGTATGTTAGTGTATACCCAGGAGGTAAAGGCAAGAAGATTGCGTATGAAGCCAGCCTGGACTACACAGTGGACTATCTCAAAAAGGTAAAAATGAAGTCACAGATTTAGCTGAGAGGTCTAGGGCTTGTTTACATTTTGTAGAGGACCTGGAAAACTCTGCTGTGTGCTCTGTGCAGTCTCCTTTCATATGATGCATAACTTACCACTTTTCTTCACAAAGATGTATTTAGGAGTTTGGGATAATCTACCAGGTGTTGTGAAGTGTCAAATGGAACAAGCTCTTCATCTTGATTTTGGTACTGAACTGGAGCCAAGAAAAGAAATAGTGCTATTTGATAAACCAACCAGGGGAACTACTGTACAGAAATTCAAAGAAATGGTTTACAGTCTCTTTAAGGTGAGTGTATCTAGTACTACACCTCAGTATGAAGCTTTGTCCTTACAAAGGAACTGGCAGAACCTCATACTGTTGTCATTCTTTTACTTCCATCAGAGACTCTATGTGGAAGGAGTGACTCAGAGAAAGGGAAAAAATTGGAGGATATTAAGCTTTTTTATTTTAAATAGTTATTAATAGACCTGAGGGGTATTAGTTTGCTGTAGATTTTGACATTCACCTGATGGAGAGCCAGGCACAATGACTTACTCCTGTAATCTCAGCTGCTTTGAAGACTGAGGCAGGAGAGTTGCCTCAAGATAGATGGGCTATATAGTGAGTTCCAGGCCAGCCTAGATTACAATGTGATGCCATGTGCATAAATAAATCAATAAATAATAAAATAATATTATTTTTAACCAAAATAGTGAAATAAAATTAGTATACTCAGACTGGAGAGATGGCTCAGCAGTTGAGAGCACTGACTGCTCTTCCAGAGGTCCTGAGTTCAGTTCCCAACAACCACATGGTGGCTCGCACCATCTGTAATGGGATCTGATGCCCTTTTCTGATGTGTCTGAAGACAGTGACAGTGTACTCCATATAAATGAAATAAATAAATAAATCTTAAAAAAAAATTTTTTTGTGTGTACTCTGTCTCCCTGGATTCCCATCCACAACTCTCCTCTTATATGGGAACAAACTGTATCTCTGCTGTCCTGAGACTCACTCTGAAGACCAGGCTGGCCTCGAACTCAGAAGTCCACCTGCCTCCCAAGTGCTGGGATTAAAGGCGTGTGCCACCACCGCCCGGCTTTAACTAACTTTGAAACAGACTAAATTGATCAGGCTGGCTTTGAATTGGTACCCTCCTGCCTCAGCCTTCTGAGTAGCCAGGATTAATTACAGGTGTGCACTATTACATTGGACTTGAAATTATTTAAATCTAAAGAAAATTTACTCGCCACCAAATGTATTAACTAGAATTTAATCTCCAGTGTCCTCAGGTAGGAAGGGGGAACTGATTTCTACAAGTTGTCCGCCAACATCCACCCACACAGCAGTTCATAGTGCACTATGTGTGCACAGACATGTACACACACACTTCACCCCCTAGTATTTGGGAGAGATAAATTTTCTTTTATTCAGTGGCAAGGCTAGCACTGTGGTATGACCTAGAACTGATTCTTTTACAGATGCTTTTTGTTTTCTTTTGGACTAGAAGTTTAATTCAGGACCCTCACACATAGAACTCTAGACTTAGATTTACTTGCTAAACAAACTGGCCTTGAATTTAGGATCCTAATTCTAGTTTCATCTGTGTAACTCAACAAATTCTTGTCTTGACAGGCAAAGTTAGGTGACCAGGGAAACCTGTCTGAACTGGTTAACCTCATCTTGACAGTGGCTGATGGAGACAGAGATGGCCAGGTCTCCCTAGGAGAAGCCAAGTCAGCATGGGCACTGCTTCAGTTGAACGAGTTTCTCCTGATGGTGATACTTCAGGATAAAGAACACACCCCCAAACTAATGGGATTCTGTGGTGACCTCTACATGATGGAAAGTGTCGAATATACCTCTCTGTATGGAATTAGTCTCCCATGGGTTATGGAACTCTTTATTCCATCTGGATTCAGAAGGAGCATGGATCAGTTGTTCACACCATCTTGGCCCAGAAAGGCCAAGATAGCCATAGGACTTCTAGAATTTGTAGAGGATGTTTTCCACGGCCCCTATGGAAACTTTCTCATGTGTGACACCAGTGCCAAGAACCTAGGATATAATGAGAAGTATGACTTAAAAATGGTGGATATGAGAAAAATTGTGCCAGAGACAAACCTAAAGGAACTCATTAAAGACCGCCACTGTGAGTCTGACCTGGACTGTGTCTATGGTACAGACTGTAGAACTAGCTGTGACCTGAGTACAATGAAGTGCACTTCAGAAGTAATACAACCAAACTTGGCAAAAGCCTGTCAGTTACTCAAAGACTACCTACTGCATGGTGCTCCAAGTGAAATCCAGGAAGAATTAGAAAAGCAGCTTTACTCTTGTATTGCTCTCAAAGTCACAGCAAATCAAATGGAAATGGAACATTCTTTGATATTAAATAACCTAAAAACATTATTGTGGAAGAAAATTTCCTACACAAATGACTCTTAGTTCATTTGGACTATTCACTGAGAATCTACTTATGACTTTGAGCATTTAGAAGAATGGCTTCTGTCCCCTGGGCCTATGGAGTCATTGTCTCAAATGCATGTTATGACAACAATGGCAGGTGCAGGGCCAAGAGATGTCCAAACTCATTCATTCCTGCCCTTTTATAAGTTCACAAGTATATTCACTGTTAACTATTTTGACTTAAAAAAAAAAAAAAGCTAATGCTGTGAAAAACCTCATTCCATAAATAATGAGTGTTCTGTAGCTGTTAGCCAATCCCATTGCTGGACATTGTTTGCATTGAAGCTGCTGTTTAAACAAAGAAATTTATAGATGAACTTACTAATGTTTTAGCATGGTAAAAGTTTGCACATTAACACAAATTAAGAATGCCACACAGGTAAATCCAAATGACTCATTTATTAAAAAGTTCAGTTAATATAGCATGATTTACTGTATACTTACACATTTTAACTTCAGATGAGTCAACTGTTGGATGGCTTTTAGTGTCAGCATATATTCTACATGCTGAAGTTAACATGGTTACCACTGAAAATTCATTATCCTGAAGCTCTGATAGGTTCATCTTAGCATCCAGGTGATACACATTATCTTAGGGTGGGGATGTAGATATGCAGTCAATTGTTTACCTGACATGTGGGAAGCCCCAGTACCAGAGGCTGACACAGTAAGATAGAGGCGATAAAGGTGCACACCACCCCAGCTGAGAGAGACTGGAATCCATCAGGAAGAAAGTTCTTGTTCCTTTAGGGATGAAGGGCTGGCTATTTCTTAGAGGCATGAATTATCTCCTAGTACTTTCCCACATGAACCTGACTGACACGAAAGGTCTGAATAGTTGACTCTTTCAAGTTACTTTCCTATGTGCATTCAGGTCCAGCATACACCATAAAAATCAAACAGAAGCCGGGCGGTGGTGGCACACGCCTTTAATCCCAGCACTTGGGAGGCAGAGGCAGGCGGATTTCTGAGTTTGAGGCCAGCCTGGGGTCTACAGAGTGAGTTCCAGGACAGCCAGGGCTACACAGGGGGAAAAAAAAAAGGGGAAAGAAAAACATAAAAAGCCTCAGCTCCCCCTTTCTCCTCAAACCATGAACTTCATTGTTCCCAAATCTTTAAAGCCACGGATTAGCACTTTCAAGATTGACCTTGAACTATGTCCTGATGATCATGCTGCTAATTACCAGATCTGAAAATCTGAAGGATAAGGACTCCTTCCAGGAAGATTAGAAACTCAAGAAACATTCATAACCTTTGCAAGAACCCATGTAAGCTGGCTTTTCCTGGAAAAAACTTGTTTTGTGAGAGGAGAAACAAAAGAATCTCAACTAGGTGTAGTGATATTTGCCCTTAGTCTCAGCAGAGGTAGTCATGGTGCAACAACAAAAAGGTAAAACACATTATCTACTCCTTTGCTCTGTAATTTCACACTATTTCCTATAGTCTCATAATAACAGCTTAACACAGAAAAAGCTGCTTGATCAATCTGTTTATTGTCTTTATGAAAAAATCTTCATAGAAAATTGATTTAGCTTTCAGCAGCCCGTTCCTGAGCTCTGAGGAAGCTTGCCTTCTTTTGAGCAACCCGGTCTTTCTTCTGGGCAAGAGACATTTTAGGACGATTCCACCTACAAAACAAAGTAAGGAGTAAGACAGGAATATCTCTCAAGTTCAACTGAAAAAAAAAAATGACAAAACCTTTATAATTGGATAGGGGTTGAAAATCTCATTATTTGAAGACATAGTTTTCCTATATATCCTTTAGGTAGCTTTGAATTTGTGACAATCGTCATGCCTCAACCTCCTGAGTACCCACAGTAAATTTTAATCCAGGTATTCAATGGCTCACACTATAAGCCAGGTAGAGACATAAACGTTATGAATTGAGGCAGATCATGAATGCAGGCAAAGAAAAGTTCCTCTATAGGTAGCTAAAAACGAAAAAAAAAAAAAAGACTGTACTGTGACAGAATGGGCACCTCAGTAGCTTCTGAGGTTGGTACATTGCTATCACCAATTACTCTAGCAAACCTGGTTCCCTTAGCTGCTGCCACATTATGCAGAGCTAGTGATCGAGTTTGCACAACTGCATAAAATCTGACCAGCAAGATGCAGCGGGTTTCTTTCCTAGAGAATGGTAAACCACATACCTCTTCTTCTTTACTTCTCTCTTGGGCTTCTTCTCATAGACTGGATTCTCTCGGATAGCAGCATGAGCTTTCTTATACATCTCCTCCATCTGGAACAAAGCAAAGCAAACAGTATTTGCCTTCATTTCATGCGCCCTATTAGTAAGGTACAGTACCACCTACTTTCAGTTCTCAAAGGACCTTAACTAAGCCAATGATATCTCCTTAAATTCCCAAGTGGAGCCCATCCTCCCTTTCCTTATCTATCTCACTGCTTAGGGTGAGTAACCTGCATGCATTCCAGAGGAATGCATCGACAAGCCCATCTTTGTACAACTACCCCGCCCACACTACAGTCTACTACCCGGCCTAAATTCTGTCAAGAGAGGGTGCATGCCCAAAAGATGTGAGCTATACAGCCACAATGACACTAACAACAGAGGGCACGGGCACGAGGAGGGGGGGGCCCACCAACTGGGTAACAGCCACTTCTTTTATCATCCCATATAGCCAAGATTTACAATCCCTCTTATGTGACAGGCCTTTTAAAGCAATTCCCAGCTCAGAGGCATACTCTATATTCTACCATTGCCAATTTTAGTACATGGCAACTAGTATGACCTCTAAAACTCCCCCATTTGATTAGATTTTGTTGCTGGAATCTTTTGATCACAAAGTTTGTTTTGAAAAACAAAATTCAAGGTTGTAATCCAGAATGCCTAGTATTAACTATAACACCCTGAAGTACAGGTGCTCAAGAACAGGAATGCCAAGAGCCTGATCCCCTGTGAGTGTTATCCAGCTTTCTAAACATGGAGGTGGAAAAGAGGAAATAATGCAGAAAGGTCTACTGCACTGCAGAACCCAACTATTTCAATCCCCTCCCAACCCCTAAGAGACAAGACCCCATGAAACGCAGATTTCCTCACATTCTCAAGCCAGTGATCCTAGTACTCACTCAGGAAGACCCAAGGTTCCTTAAACCCTCTATCATATAGTCTGGAAACTGCAAAAGTTAAACCCAGTTCTTTCCAACAGAGTTGATAGCTTCACATATGTAGATGAAGCCATGGATTTATTCACTCTACTGAGAAACATTAAGTCTGCAGATTTCAGCAGCTACACAGAACACTCCAGATAAAATGATCTACAGGATGGAAGCTCAGAGGCTGAGCATAGATGCTTCACCCCATGGAAACCTTTGGATTTATTCCCTGCACCACAAAATAAAAAGCATTAGCTGAAAGGCAGATCGTGAACATGTAATAACCATCTGAGCAAGCATAACATGAGTAGGTCAGTACAAGACCCAGAAAGAAAAGACTGCAGTGAAGTACAGTCTAAAGTAAAGCCACTGTTCATGGGTTCCTTTCATAAAAGCTCAAACTCAGTTTACTGTAAGATGATGTCCAGAGCACACAGACCACAGAAAGTATTTTCCACCCTATACTTTAGATAGGAAACTTTAGAGCGCTCCAGTATCAAGCTCATTTACCTCCCCCACCCATACGTTTTCAAATGGTATAGCCCTCAAGATCTCAATAAACTCTAAAATGTATTTTTTCATACCATCTAAAAAACAAAGTAGGTTATGATAACTCAAACCTCTAAGTCAGGATTGTCTTAAATTCAAAGGTGGCCCTGGTTGAATATCAAGTCCCTAGACAAATCAGGAAGTGAGGCTTGGTCTCCCCCACCCCAACCCCCAAAGATAGGTGGTAGTGGCGTACACCTTTAATCCCAGCAGAAGCCAGCCTGGTCTACCAAAGTTGAGTTCCAGGATAACCAGGGCTACACAGAGAAACCCTGTGTCACAAAACAAAGCTAAATCTCTTACAAAGCAGCCATTTAAAAAAAAAAAAAAAGACTGTACTGTGACAGAATGGGCACCTCAGTAGCTTCTGAGGTTGGTACATTGCTATCACCAATTACTCTAGCAAACCTGGTTCCCTTAGCTGCTGCCACATTATGCAGAGCTAGTGATCGAGTTTGCACAACTGCATAAAATCTGACCAGCAAGATGTAGCAGGCAAAGCAGGAACCATTCCTACCATACCTATTTGCACTGGAGACTTTAAATGACAGAAGCCCATGTATATCAGCATCTAAAAAAATCCTTTTCCCACCTGACCAATATACTAACATTACTCAAAAGCAGCAGCAGTATAGTAGCCCACCTTTGTATACCTACAAAGCCACATACAACCTTCCATGTGCAAAATAAAATAAATAAACTTGTTACAACTATTATAACAAGCAGTTGTTTCTGTAAGTGAACAGCATGTTCAGGTAAATTTTTACCATGTCTGGAGTTACGTTGTTCTTGATGTACTGCGAGAACTGTTTCTTGTATGCATCTTCATCTTCCTCCATTAGGTAGCGCATGTAGTCTGCCACATTCTGACCCATGATGTGTTTCCGATGTACCTCTGCATGGAACTCCTTGCTTTCAGAGTCATAACCAGGGAATCGTTTGGTACTAAAATGAAATTTTCATGTTAGTATACAGACAAACTACAACACTCCCAGGAATTCACTTCAGGAGCTGCCATCAGTCCCGTCTTGAAACAATGATTACATCATCATATGCAATCAAAGGACCAACTACTAACTGCTCAGTTAGTGCGGCATCATCATTAGCAGCCCGTCTCTGAATTCCTGAAGATAAAAGAACATAAAACCTTGCTTTTCACCTTTCTAGAGTCTGCACTGCCCAGGGTATCTCAAAACTCCTGGGCTCTACCCATCCTGTTGATCCCAAGCATCCACAGAGCTAGATGGCCACCAGGGCTTCCTATCACAAGTTTCCCTGCCCTTCAAAAGTCATCCCTTAAATACTTATTACCCAGTGGTAATGAGAGTTAGTGATTTGTCTAAATTACTATCAATGAGGCTGTTCAATAAGAAATTTAAGAAAACTTAAGTTAGTCGATATGCTATCTATAACAAAAAATGCATTAACTGAGGAATTACAAATTAATTTACTTAATTTCTAATATTCAGCAATCTTATTAATGACTGAAAGCTTACAAATTTCAGGCTTTTGTCTCTGAATGTTTTATTCTAGAAGCCACATTTTGCCCTAAGTCAATAAATCAACTTTGACTGAAAAACGAAGAGCCAGGCAGTGGTAGTACACAACTTTAATCCCAGCACTCGGGAGACAGAGGCTGGAAGATCATCACCCAAAGTTCCAGACTAGACTAGGCTAGAGAGTGAGACCCTAATACAGGTTCCTTGTACAGTAACTACACAGAGCAGGCACTGAATGATTGCTACTCAATGAGTAAGCAG